CTGACATTCTCTACTACAGATACCTTCTTATGCCTTCAGATAGTACTGAGGGCTGCATGCTGTGGTTCATCTGACTTCCTGAGTTCATTCTGGAAAGTAACGATGGGATCATAGCATCCATAGACTTTGGGACTATTATTCCCATGAGCGATGATCATACGAAGTTTTCAATTGTGGTAAACCAGCCACAAATTCAGCTATTTAGTTGTCAGGTTCTCCTTTCTACCTCTTTTAGAGAAGACAAGTTTCCAGTAAAAAAAAAAATACAAATTTTTCTTTTCCTAACTAAAATAGCATATATTCCAAGTAACAATTAAAAGGAAAAAAAAATGACACAAGAAGTATTTTGAACCTTGTATTTAATTACCAAGGGTAACACATCATGGTTGTTATTTTTTTTACACAAGTGCAATCTCTCTGAGTACTCGCAAGGTCATTGCTCATATTCAACTTCACAGTGTAATATATTGGAAGACTGAGAAAGGGGAAGAGAAAGAAGATGGCAATGAAGAGAAGGGCAAAGCACTAATAGCTGATGTTACAATTTTACATATAGATAATCTTATGTAACCTAGAAAGGAAGGGGAAGTGGGGAGGAGGGAGGGAGAGAGCAACAAGGGTGGGTTCACTGAGCTGCCTTTGCACCAGCTGAGCAGTTTCTCACCTCTGTGACAATGATGGTGACTGCTGGCGCAGACAGAGCCTCCGCGAAGCACCACACACTATGCTTGGTTCTAAGAGCTTCATGAGTTAGCACATTTGGCTCTCATGAGAATGACGTGACTAAGGAAACCCAGGCCTTTTCTTGTGGTCACATAGCTAGTGAGTATGAGGCTGGGGCTCCAAGTCTAGACCTGCTGGCTCCTGAGCCCAGCGTGGTATCCTCCGACCCGGGCGCTCAGCGGGGTTTGGTATCTGACATCGTGTATGAAATTCTTACCTGAAATAACTTTCATCCTCTGAATAGAACTTTGCTTTCTGTGTTCCTTAAAAGTTGTTTTTAGTTATTCATATAATGAGCCAGTACATGTAAAAAGATTAAAGTATCACACGTGAAGCATCACAGAAATACTGAAGTCATGGTTTCCTGTGGCGAATACTGCCAAATTTTGGCCTCCCCCATCCCTGTTACCCACTTCTACTAGAATAACTGTAGCATATCACTTCCAATCTTTAAAAATACATTTAGATACTTATTTATGTATGCCTTGAATATATGATACATCTGTATGTGTCTTAGTTACTTTATGCTCCTCGCTGAGACAAAATACCTGATGCCCAAGTTGGGAAAGGAAAGGTTTATTTCTTACAGTTTTTGGAGGTTTCAGTCCACACTCAGTTGGCTCCCAGGCAGGCGGGCATGGCTGGGCCGCCATTCATGGCGGCTGCAAACAGCAAGCCGGAACCAGCAAAGAGCAAGACACACTTTCTTCCTGCCATTACATCACATCCTGGCTCCACCCCTATGTGGGAGGCACACTGACACCATCAATCCAAGCACTAGACAATGAACCATCACAAATGCACAATTCAAACTCATGAGGCCTGGGGGACACAGACATGAACCATGACAGTATGTTTTAATTAAGAATAACATGTTACTAAATGATGAAATAGTTCAAATCTTCTAAGACTTTTTCAATGTGTGGTTCTCAAAGTATCTTTGTAATTATTTCATGGTGTTCATAGGCTATAAGACTATCCAGAGCTCCATTTAATATGAGCTAGATCCAGACAATTAAAGTATCTACATCCTAATAATCTAATAGCTATTTCAAACATTATGCCTATAAATTTTAAGAAAAATGATATTTTAAATTATTCTACAATAACCACAGTTTTTTAATATTGGGAGATGTGTACCTGCTAGGTACCCCTGGGTCTTATTAGAAATAAGACCTGTTTCTATTCCATGCCTACTTCTGCATGGTACTTCTTTTATTTTTTATCATAGCAAGAGACCCAGCTGTGGGGGAAAATGACATCAGAAGGAATCTAGCCTGATCTCCTTTTGGAACTGTGGTCCCCTGGATTCCTGCTTCCCACAGTGCTGACAGATTGTCTGCTGCGGTTGGGCTCCCCTGGGGTGCTCCCTGCAGTCATTCATAGTCACACATTCCCAGCTCCTTCTTTCATCCCACATTGCACCTTACGGACCTGTGCATGTTACACATGGAGATTTACCTTCTCCAAATGCTGCTGCATAATTATCCAGAATGAACAGACCGCAGTTTGTTTACCTGTTTTACTGTTGATCACAGTTAATGTTACTTTTAATAGTTTGTAATTTTGTGCAGTGTCACAATGAAAATCCTTGGTATGCACCTTTTTGTTCATGTGGGAGAGTAAAAGAATTGCTGGACTGGTGGCTGGTCAGTTTTTCTGTTTGTTTGAATGCATATTTACAAGTTGAGCTTGGCCATCTTTGAAGAAATTATTTCTTATAATCCTTTGAAATATCCTTATGTTGCTGGATTTTTTTCCTAGGGCTCCATAACCCCATGACTGTCCCATTGGGAAAGAATAATTTTCCTGAAACAGTAAATAGTAATCTTATATGTTACTTAGATATACAAAGCCTGAAAAGCAAGGGTTGGATATGAATAGAACAAGAGGAAAGGAGTGATAGGAACCGATTAGAAAGATACATTTCCCAGGACAACGAGGCAGTCAGCTTGTTTGGTGTATGTTGCTGCAGACGTGAGCACGGCCAGCTCTTTTGGAATAAATAATTTATTTGAGACACAGATAGCAAGTATTTTGCAAACATGCATTAAATGTTCTTTATCCCTCTACAGCAGACATAACCAATCTGTAGCAGCACAACAGATATAGCTGATCTATAGTGGCACAGCAGACAAAGACAATCTCAAGTGCATGGCAGACATAGCCAATCCATCCCCCACTCACTATTGAGACCCTTCTTACAGTCTTGGTGTGGACTTGTTATTCCTGGAGTCAGAGAGACACTGGAGAGGCAAATTGAAGTTAGGAGGACGAGGGACAAAAATTGTGAAATCAAGGAGAATTTGGAAGGTTTGTTTATAATTCAGATCTTATTGGCACAAGGACTGATGATTTTCCCCCGTGAGAAATAGCGACATATGTTGCTTTCCGGTTGCTCTTGTTTGTTTCCTGGTTAAGTTCTAAGTTATTTATTTATTTATTTCTAGCAGATTAATTTAATTATGAGAGACCCCTTTTTATTATTCTCTTCCATGAAGCCCATATATTGAAAGATATGATTCTAAAAGTAAAATCCTACTTCTTAAAACAGTGGCAGCAGTAGACAAGTATTAATTGAGTTTTTTTTATACAGCCAAGCACGGTGTATAATACATTTATTAATTCTTTTACTAACTTCTAAACCCTCACAACAGTTCTGTGAGGTGGGTACTATTACTGTTCTCATTTTTATAGTTGTGAAATCTGAGACACTGAGTTTAAACATTTTGTGCAAAGTTCTGTAACTAGTAAGTGATACAGTGAATTGGTCATCTGCTAACAGTTATAACTGTATCATTCCTGATTAGGAGATGATGAGGATACTGAGAATGAGCTGAGACAATTTTGGCCAGAAGCAAAGGAACTTGCTGTGTCAGCCTTGTCTGTGCAGCAGGGCTGGGGGAAATGTACGATTTTTTTTGGTTAGAGTGTTCTGTCATTGTTTTTAAAGACTACAGAGACCTGACATCCTGGTTTAGAAACTATGGATCTGGCCATTCAGTTTTCCATTTCCTGAGAAAGCAGGGAGTGTTCATCAAAGACAGTAAAGCGTCACAGAGCAGATTTACCTGTCAGGCAGGAGGCTTGGTGCTGAGAGGTACAGGCCCTACTCTCTGAACTCCTGCTGTACGATTGGCCTCCCCATTTGTTAGCTGGGTGAGATGAGGTGAACCCCAGAGTTCTCAGTGGTAGAGTGTGTGCATTGATTAAGATAGCATGTGTTGTAGATGCTTCTTGAGGGGTAGGTGGTACTTACACTCAACTTTTTAAACTTTCGGGTTGAGCATGTACATCAGATAATAAGGACAGAACAGGCCCTTAAGGGAGATTGAGCAGGTGCAAGAGCTCAGCAGATGGCAAGTTTCCTTGTCCTCTTTCCTCTCTAGCATAGAGCAGGCTGGTGCCCCTGAGGGAGACCTCCCTGGCCTCGTGATAACTAGATACCCAACAGCGCACCCTCTTACCATCTTCACACACTGCAGGTATAGAAAGTGACCCTCCCTGACATTCCCCCCAACAGCCTCAGGGACTTTGTGATTAGTGATTCAGAAGTGGCCAGCTGTCAGTGTGTTAGAGTGACCTTTGCACGTGGTTCAAGGAGAGGTGGCTGCTGGGACAAGTTTGGTGTCTATTTCAAATAAATGCCTGTCAGTAATGTGAGCTACTTAGGTCTTTAGGCTTTGTTTTGTGTTGGAGCTGATTTTTCTCCTTGATATCTTCACGCTTCTGAAAATAAGATCCTGAAAACCATTTGTTCCTTCCTATTGTAAAAGAAGAATTGCCTCTCTCTGTGTGTGTGTGTGTGTGTGTGTGTGTGTGTGTGTGTGTGAGATGGGCCCTGTATTGACTCGGCCCAGGATTCCTCTTGGAGGAGGCTGTCCTGGCAGGAGAACTGAGTGTGATGCTGTCTTGGGCTGTGACTCTTTAGGGTGAGAGGTGTCAAATGCTCCACGCCTTCAACCATCTGTGGCTTTTCAAGAATCACTGCGGAACCTACCAACGTTACCAGAATGTCCCACTTAAGTACATATTCTCTCTCTTGTCTTCTTGGTAACTGTATGACTCAAATGTTACTCAGAAAGTCTTAGTCCTCCGTAATTTACACCCCTTGTCTTTGTTATTATTTGCAAGCTGTTGGTTTTCATCTTTCAAAAGTGTAATGTTGAGGAATAGCTGTGGGAACCGTGGCTAGAAGTACAGATTTCTTTTTGTTATTAAGTATATTTACTTTTGTTATTAAGTATATTTGACCAAATCTTTTTTTTCCTCCCCAGCACTGGCTTGAACCTAACAAGTCCATCTTCAAGCAAATGAAATGTAAGTGTCAATGTGTGGTTTTATTTTTGCTATGAAACGTCCTAAGGTAGAATCAGTTTCCCAACAAAGTTTCCTTTGCCAGGGGAAAAGCAGGTAGAGCTGAAGATGCGTGGGTGAGCAGGGTTACCTCTCCCAGTGAGAGGAGTGTGTGTTCTCCCTTCTTCTCTTACCTTGGTCTCCCTGCAGCCACTGATCCTTTTGTCTGCTGTGTCTCTCGCCCTCTGCACCGTTTTGCCTTCATATGTCATATCTGAACAGGAACTTTGCCCCTGAGTGGTTAAATATGTGCTATGCATGGTTACTAGTGCCTGATTCTTTCTGATTGTGCAGGTTGCTAGTAAATGGTTCAGAGTGTGAGGTGCAGTCTTGAAGAAGAGAGAAGCAGGTGTGTTCGGATACTAAAATCTTACCGATGGTTTTATTACACATTATTATTCTTTCCTACTCTTCCAATTCCAAGAGAGAAGTAAAAGTATTTTCTGGGTAATTGTTCTGAACAAAACCTTCTGGAATCCCTGATCATTCACCAGGAATGTTGTGAGGAGAAGTAATCCTGTCTGATATGTATTTTGTTCTGGTAACCTCTAGCAATCTGCTTTTATTTATGGTTTGGAGGACTTCTCAAATGGACCTCAGAATTCACTGCCTGCCCCCAAATCCAATGGTCCTTGTCTGTGTCAACTCTACAATATAGATGATACATCAGTTCCTCATGCAGAACAGATTAATATAAATCAAGTCACTTGTCATCATTCCAGGAGTTCTTTTCTTTCTCAAAAATGAAATTACCACAGGCAGAGCTTTCAGGTGGTGAGAGGAGGAAGAAGCTGAACATGAGCTTCAGCTGTGCAACCAGCTCTGCCCTCCTTGACCTTTGTCTTCCATCTCCCCTGTGCCACTTCCACAGCCCCGGTCCTCCAGAGCAGACGGGGTCTGGCTGGTGCAAGAGGGGTGTACTGAGAGGAGAACAGTGGCGTTGCAGGTGTGGGCAGTGTGAGGAGGTCAGGCTGTTGGGGTGAGGCTGGGACAGACTTGGGGTAAGATCCCCACAGAGGTAGAAGGACAGAGAGCCCAGGCGCCTCCAGAAGAATACGCAGGGAACTAAGGGCTAACTGCATGAGAAAAAGCACAGTGTAGCTGAACGTTAGCTTTTGTCCCTCAGGTTGTTATTTTTGTTTGTATATTCAACTATATTTAAGCAACTTTCCAGTGTTCTTATTTATATTAAATGGTTCTCTGACTTTGATTCTTTTATTTTTTGGCACCAGGAATCGAACTCACGACCTTGTGCATGCCATGCAGGTGCTTGTGCCTCTGAGCTAAATTCCTGGCCTGCCTTTGGTTCTTAGATGTCATGCTGTGTTTTCCACATTCCATAAATATTGATGAAATATAAATTTATCATTAACCATGTTTCAATACTTGGTAGAAAGAGAAATTTAAAACTTGTAAGAAATATAAGATGCACGATAAATTGGCTGCTTAAGACGTTTACTTTTTTTTTTAAAGAGCTTTACTTTCACAATAACACAAGTTTTAACAACTAACTGAAAATGTATACTGTTTTATAAAAATGGTTTGCACATTGATATTTGACCAATGGTCACTTTGAATCTAATGACAAATGAGATATAAATCTGGGAAAAAATAGTGTGGAATTTAATTTCTCAACGAGACACGTGATTTGTTGATTCTGGGAAGTGCGTGACTCTTACCCATACCTGGTCACTGTTGTGCTGCTGAGGAGACTGCTGAACAGGACTTAGTAATTGGAACAGACATGTCAAAATGGCCCAATTAATAGCCTAGGAAGAGCCAGAGCTGCCCAGGCCAGACTCCCGGGGCTCACTCCGTGTTCCGGCTGCCTCCCTCACCAGCTCCCGACACTGGAAGTGCTGTGTAAAGTGGCATTTTCTCTAGCGCTCACTGAGGGCAGGGGAAGCTGGACAGCATGAGCCACCTGCAGGGACCTTGGGTCACATTCCCAGAGACACAGGAAGGAGTGGGGCTCAGCACTTGTCTAGAGTGAGCTCTTCCTATCATTTCCACAAACACAGGAGAAATCTGAGTTAGCAGGAAATCCTGGACAGCTGCCACCATCATGATTGGAGAGGAAGAGTCCCTAAACCAGGCCAAGGACTGGGTCTGATTTCCCTGGTTACAAAGGGGAGCTGTTGAGACAGTTTGGGATCTGAATGCTAAACAAAAGATAGATGGGCTCCAACCAAGAGCTTCTGGTGACATTCTGGACAGAAAAATCTCTGAAGTAAGAACACAACATATAGGTCCACTCAGCACCTAGGACACTGGCGAAGGAGAACTCAGGATCAGGAAAGTTATTTCAGGTCCTCCTTTTCTTAAGTAAATTGAGGAGATTGCATTGCAGGACAGAGACAAAAGACTGTGGTTAACCATGCCCCAAGCACAGCCCCAGTGGACCCTGCTCAGGACTCCTTGGCAGCTGGTAGACGGCCTGCAGCCAGGTGGGAAATGGGTGCAGCTGCAGCCAAGCAGGAAGGGGATTGTGTGGACACTTGGGCGTGACGGGAGATAGGGCACACCGGGAGGTCGCCTACCTTCTCTTACCAGAGTATCTGTTCTGATTTCTTGCCAGGTTTATGTTTTGTTTTTTGAGATAGGGTCTTGCTATGCAGTTTAGGCTGGCAGAGAATGCCGGGTAATCCTCCTGTCTCAGCCTCCCGAGTGCTGGGATCGCAGGAGTGTGCCATCACTCCTGGCAGGTTTTGTTTTTCGTTTTTGCTTCTGTTTCTTTTCTTTCTCTCTCTTCTTTTTCTTCAGTTCCTCTTTCTGTATCAATACTACCTTTTCATTTTAAAAAAAATTAAATTTTTTCTCTTAAATTCTGCTTCTTGGTCTTTTGTTTCTTTTTAACCTTTTGTCTTCTTGTTCTATGCTTTTTGCTCTTCCTTGTCTTACCTATCCCTTTGTCTTTTCTTGCTTCTTCACTTTTATGCGACACACACACACATATGCATACATACTTCCATATATGTATATATGTATAGCAGGTGCCTATATTTGTGCAAAAGAGACTACTCATCCATAAAGAAAGCTAAACTTGAATCATTTGTAGGAACATGGATGCACCTTAAGACCATAATGATAAGTAAAATAAAATAGACACGCAAGCTTAAATAGCACATGGTTTCTGTTATATGTGAGACTTAAATTATTAAAAAAAAAAGCAAGTAGAAGACAGTAAGAAATAGGGAGATAAAGGTTTTTCAGATGGGAAGGGGATCAAGAGATGGAGTGGGGCTGAGGGAGGGGAGGAGAGGGCATGATAGGGGAGTGGACACGGTTATGTATGTGGGCCAGCTCCACATGAGGAATGTAAGTGTTGTGCACTCCACACGTGCACTAATAAAGAGAGGAGCAAATCAGCGCTTTAACTTTGTGGTACCATCCACAGTCACTTTGAGGTAACCCCAAACAGAACTATGCTGGGAAGTTTCAAGCAAAATTAATCACAAACATATCAACAGGTTTCAACAGCCTCCCAGATAACACCACCCACCCCCTACATCCTGCCCCTTTGCTCCCAAATATCTTCTTAAAAACCCTTCATTGCTAACCTTTGCTGCAGCCATAAATGCCTTCCAACAGAATCTGACCATGTATCTGATTTTTTAATGTTTATTTGTTCTATATATCTTTCCTCCTACTACCTGACCCCTTTCTCCTTTCTCCCTTTTCTTCTTCTCTGTCCATCCCTTCTTTTTCTATACTGCAGGCTAACTGCTAATAATAATACAGTATAGATCAGTGATGGGGAATCTTTTAGAGCTTTCAATGATACAAACAGGCCACTGTGGCACATGTGCTGTAGGTACAGACTGAAGGGATACTGATACACGGTGAAAGTGTGTAAACAAGGTGTAGTATATGCGTGACATGTGATCAAATCTGTTGATGCTATTACAACCAGTAGACATTTTCTCCTCATGACACAGTGATGGGATCCAACTGATTGAGGTTGAATAGCTGAAGGGGTGAACATTCTCCATGGAGAAATAAGTCCATGAACACGTCACTGGAAAACAGAATTTGACTAAAAAGTTCCTTATATCAGTTATAGTCCCTCCTTACTGTATTTCAACTAAAACACACACACGTGCACACGAGTACACACACAGGAATGTGAAAATAGAAGGCAACCAAAGGCCTCCAGAACTTCCCAGATCTCCCACAGCAAGTCCAAGGAGCGCTAATGGAGACAAAGCAGACATCAAGTAGCAGACATGTGTGAGATGATGGAAGAGGGAAGAAGCTTGGTAGGTTCCGGAGCATGACCCCTAAAAGATGATGAAAGTGACTCAGAAGCTGACCACTGTGAATATGGGAGAAAGAAAAAAGTTGGAAAACCTGACCAAAATGGTTCAAAATGTGAAGGACAATTTTATCAAAGAGACATACTCCACAAAAATGCCAGACTTAAAAATTATATAGAATTTGTAAACTGCAGACATGACCAGTGTGAAGACAGGGCTTCTGAAACTGAAGACAATGAGATAAATTATGACAATTTGCTCAGGGAAGCCTTAAAAATGACAAGAATACAAATAAATAAAATAATAAGACAAAATAACAAGATAAAAATGACAAGAGAACAAGAAAAATTCATCCAACAATTACTGGATGATGCTAAGAGGACTAACTTAAGGTTAGGTGGAGTTAGAGTACAGCACATAAGGGATAAAAAAATCTGTTGACAGAAATCATAATGGAAAAATTTCCAAGTATGAGGAAAGAACATAGTATTCAGGCTTACAGAGCACCAGTTAACTACAATGAAAAAAGACACTCCCATGACATATCACAGTCAAAATCCCAGATTTGCAACAAAAAGACAGAATCTTGAAAGCTATTAGAGGAAAGCAAAACATCATACATACAGGTAAACCCATCAGATTTACAGCAGACTTCTCAACACAAACTTTGAAGGCCAAGATAGCTTGGAGGGAAGTGTTTTAAGCTAT